GACAACACCAGACCTTGTCATTCACATGGACTGCTACCACAAACAGTCCATTGTCAGCCACTAACTGTTCCTATAACAGCTATTCATTCTCCCAGTCTAACCTTTACCATTCCTTTGTCAGTCCAACTGTTTTTCTGTCTCTCTGGGCTCCATTCCACCTACCATTTACTCCTTTCCCATCCCCCCTACCCCTTTAGCATATATACCAACCAATCAGTTCTGAAGAAGTCACTGGGTCCAATACGCTAATTCTGCTTGCTCCCCACAGATGCTGCCAGACCTACTGAGCTTTTCCAGCTACTTTTGTTTTTATTTCTGATTTTGAGCATCTGCAGTTCTTTGGCTTTTTTAAATCGAGTGTAGACTGATGTGGCACTAATTGGCGGGTTTGATTTGTCCTGTATTTTTGTGTACAGGACATACCTGGGCAACTTTCCACACTGCTGGGTAGATGCCAGTTGTAACTGTACTGAAAGAGCTTGGCCTAAGGAGCGGCAAGTTCTGGAGGACAAGTCTTCACGATTATCTCCAGAATGTTGTCAAGGCCCATAGCCTTTGCAGTATCCAGTGCCTCCTACCATTCTTTGATATCACATGGACTGAATCAAATTGGCTAAAGACTGTTATCTGTGATGCTGGGGACCAATGGAGGAGGCCAAGATTGATCATCCGTTTGGCACTTCTGCCTGAAGATTGCTGCGAATACTTCAGCCTTATCTTTTGCACTGATGTACTGGGCTCTCAGTAACATGGCACTCTCTCATCACTACACTGATTACATATTTATTTTCTGGAGTGAGACTTGAGCCAACAACCTTCTGTTTGGGAAACAAAAGAGGTGTCAATGAAGCTAATGGAAAACCTGCCTCGGAATAGTAGTTGCTGAAAGGCTTCAATTGAATGCTGAACACGTGAATGCTCTTTCCTCTATCTGTATCCATGGATAGGTTGTAGAAACAGTTAGCTGTTACAATGCTTCACATCTCCGTCTGATCGATGGAGTATGACGTGTTCGTATTGAAGTTAGGCATAAAATCGCAAAACACTCATGGAGTACATGGTGAGTTATATTGCTCATTTTGTTGCTCTTAAAGTATTCCTAGTGACTTTCAAGAGGGTGTTCAAAACTACACTTATCAGTTGATGATTGTCCTTGTTGTGTAGGACAGCTAGTTACGTAGGGTTATTTTAAGTTTGATGTGCCTCCACTTCATTAAAGGTTGAACCAGATCCACCCCTCAAGTGTGCCCTGGCCCAGTAATCCAATTCCTGAACCCTTGGCCCTTCAATGCATCATTTATGATTGGTTGTCTGGTTTAGAAGTCTTCATACTGTGCTCAAAATAACTTTACAGACCAGAGCTAGAGGTAGGCTGATCCTTACGTAGTGAGTAATGAAAAGCTTGTTTGTGCTGATGATTGTCATGTTGGCATACTCAGGTAGACAATCTCCTAGCTATTTCAGAATAGGCTGTCCATATCATGCAAAGAAAAACTCTTTACTTGTGTGGCTTTCACAGCAAACTAATTGGGAGTCTTGGCAAATAGGGATGATTTTCCAGATTGTTTCAATCTGCTCACTAAAGAAAATCATGTGACCCTACACATTGCGTATCAGTAAACTACTGTACGACCACGAAGCATTATCGTCAGGCCTAATCATGCCCTTTAACAAACGCTTTCACATTCTAGTAGGAAACACTAAACAGTATTTAGGACAGGAAACTCTGGCTTATTTTCTTTACCCGTATCAGAAGTGAGCTGAGAATTGTTTTTGCACTCCTTTTGTACCTTATTTCAGTTAACTCAGTACAGACCATATCTTTTCTGATCTGGTTATTTGCTTAACTATCTGAACCATCAGGGCAGCTTAGCTGTTTGTTTTAAATCAACAGTACCATCAAATAATTTCTTTGCAAGCTGAAAGTTTGATTCTCGCATTGAAATAGTGGTGGATGTAATAGAACATAGAACATTACAGCGCAGTACAGGCCCTTCGGCCCTCGATGTTGCGCCGACCTGTGAAACCAATCTGAAGCCCATCTAACCCAAACTATTCCATTATCATCCATATGTTTATCCAATGACCATTTAAATGCCCTTAAAGTTGGCGAGTCTACTATTTTTGCAGGCAGGGCATTCCACGCCCTTACTACTCTCTGAGTAAAGAACCTACCTCTGACATCTGTCCTATATCTATCACCCCTCAATTTAAAACTATGTCCCCTCGTGCTAGCCATCACCATCTGAGGAAAAAGGCTCCCACTGTCCACCCTATCTAATCCTCTGATCATCTTGTATGTCTCTATCACGTCACCTCTTAACCTTCTTCTCTCTAATGAAAACAACCTCAAGACCCTCAGCCTTTCCTCATAAGACCTTCCCTCCATACCAGGCAACATCCTGGTAAATCTCCTCTGCACCCTTTCCAATGCTTCCACTTCCTTCCTATAATGTGGTGACCAGAACTGTACGCAATACTCCAAGTGCGGCCGCACCAGAGTTTTGTACAGCTGCAACATGACCTCATGGCTCCGAAACTCAATCCCTCTACCAATAAAACCTAACATACTGTACGCCTTCTTAACAACGCTATCAACCTGGGTGGCAACTTTCAGTGATCTATGCACATGGACACCGAGATCTTTCTGCTCATCCACACTACCAAGAATCTTACCATTAGCCCAGTACTCTGTATTCCTGTTACTCCTTCCAAAGTGAATCACCTCACACTTTTCTGCATTAAACTCCATTTGCCACCTCTCAGCCCAGCTCTGCAGCTTATCTATGTCCCTCTGTAACCTGCAACATCCTTCCGCACTGTCCACAACTCCACCAACTTTGGTGTCATCCGCAAATTTACTAACGCATCCTTCTACGCCCTCATCCAGGTCATTTATAAAAATGACAAACAGCAGTGGCCCCAAAACAGATCCTTGAGGTACACCACTAGTAACTGAACTCCAGGATGAACATTTCCCATCAACCACCATCCTCTGTCTTCTTACAGCCAGCCAATTTCTGATCCAAACCGCTAAATCACCCTCAATCCCATGCTTCCGTATTTTCTGCAATATGGTACTGATACACTCTCTGATTACTTTAAAGTCCTAGTGTCGGTTACTCTTTGTGTATTTACCTTTTGCCTTTAGCTGTGATAAAGATGAGTGCCTGTGGATATCTGAATCTTCCTTTTAAAGTTATGGACCTTTAATGTTACAAATTTCTTATGTTTTATACAGTGCAACACTTTGACCAGGTTGTTTAGCAAGTTGAATATTTATAGTGCTGCTTGCAGCTGGCAGAACCTATTGGATGTCAGTGAACCGTGATCTTGAAGGGAGCTTCATGGAGTGTGGAAGAAGTCAGTGGTCCTGTTATGAAATGCCAGGAATGGTGCATTGAATGACAGAGTTCTGCTGACATCTAACATTTAACGCTTACTTGCGTTTAAAACAGATTGGTGATGTTTCTCATTGCTGTTTTGTGGGATTTGGCTGCAGCACTTCCCTGCATAATATCAATGAATATTTGTTTTATTTCTTTGCAAGATTTATTTATCATTTTGTTTTATGGAGTATTTAGTTGGCTGTACAAGAATGAAAGTTGTTGTTCTTCATTCTTTATGACAAAGTAGTGTCTCAAAGGTCCCCTGTGCTAAGTGACAAATCAGCCACAACTGAAACCAAATCTCAGAAAAGCTGCCATAATGCCCATACAAGAATGCTTTCTCTGTAAATCAAGGTGAGCTGTTTAGTAATTGTTTTAGATCCAGTGACTCTATTAATAGGGGGATGCTCTGAATGTGTTTGGTTGGAGATTTACCGAAATGCCAACGTCCCCAGGGGCCCTGTGTTTAAGGTACACCTAATGTTTGAGTGTGAACAAGCAGCCCAGAAAGGCAGCAACATTGCTTTGCAATTTGTATACATAAATGTCCAAGACTGGAGATCCTTGGCACCCTGCTCTGAAGCATCAAATATTTGGAGCCATTCTGGGCCATCATGTCTGCTGGGATGGAACTTCTCTCCAGTAGATCTGCAGATCTGCTCATGTCAACGTCCCACATCCGAGGGATAGGGCTACATCATTTATGCTGGTGGGCAGGGTGTTTGGAGCATGCATGCAGCCCAGGTGCTGTGGATTAGTTGTTAAATTATGTGTGATGATGTGACTGAATTAACTTCAGAATGAAGCATTAAACATTGGATGACTTTGTCAATAAATGAGCGCAATTACCTGTTGCTAACAGACATTTCCAGAAGCTGAACTTTCAGGGTGTGGTCATGTGCCTTTTGGGGTATACCCCAACACATCTTAAATCCTCTTTGTAGAAGAAAATATAAAGTATCTATATAATTTCAAAAGCTAAATGGTTTGCAAGTTAACATTGTTAAGTCTTGTGATACCCTGCTTGAGATGTTAGGTTAAGCAGTGCTGCTTCGCTGAGACTGTGTCTGAGCTGCTGTTATACATGGAGTGCAGCTTGTACTGAAATTAGATTATATCTGTGGTTTACCAGTGGAATTGGTAGAGTATTCTGCAAATCTCCAAATTTACACCCTCCTTTGTAAACAGATGTTCCTTTGTGGCATAAAGTACAGGTGGGCTGATTTCAAATTCAGAATTGTTGCCTTTCGTTCAACGGCTCAGCATATATTGGAAATTGGTATTATTAGTCATTCACACCAACGCACTGTAGCATCACCATAAGCTAACACATTGTTGGGCTCAGTAACTATGACAATCTTTGCTTAACAGCAAAGCAATCTGTGTTAGTTTATGTTTAGTCAGCCTTCCTGGCCTGAACCGCATTGTGACGTTAAAGACAGAGACTAATTGTCAATTCTAAAATTCAACAGCCCAGCCAACCCACAATTCAATTCATTCTGACTTATCAAACCCTGTACCTAAATTGTTCATCCCGCAGGCTAGAAGCTTTGTGAATTGCGATATTTGTCCAAATGTTGGGAGTAATATATTTCTGTTATTTTGTTACAGTGAAAGATTTCTTAGAGAAAGCGAGAGAGGAGTTCTTAGAGAAATGGGAGTCCCCACCACAGGTAAGTCATTGTCTTTCAAGAGAGCCTGAAATAGGTAGGTCACATAATGCACACATTCGTTAGTGTAAAATAATCAAATTAAATTGGATTGAGATGTTTTCTGTGGAGATGCAGCATAGATAAGGAAAATTGCGGCAGAATTTGCATGCTGTACATGGCCTTTCCTCTGACTGATCACTTCCTGTAGATGCCTGTTGACCTATGCTGTAATTCAGCGGGAACTTAATCCCATCCCCTCTTAGCAGAATTTCGAAGAATTTCATCCTTGAGTATCTGTAGCCCAGAAAGTTAGCAACATTTCTGTGAGGTTTGTATGATTTTAAAACTTTTGGCCTGGTAATTCCTCTCACGCTGTTGTTTTTGTGGAAGTGTACCAGAATGGAACTTCCTATCTGACCATATCCCAAGGAGAGAGCCATTTGCACAATAGGTCCAACAACCCACCAGTACATTGCACAGGGGAACTTGGAGTGATACCATGGCCCTCTGCCAGGAAATGCCTGCATACATGGAGATGTAAACAGTGTGCACTAGATACCTCAAATCCCTCGAAAAATATCACGAGTGATGCCTCTGTAAAATCCTGCAAATTCACTTACAGGATAGGTGATCTGATATCAATGCCCCGTCCCAGATCAAAATCCTCATTATCAGGCAATGATTCCACTCAATCAGCTGCATCAGGTAGGCCACATCATCTTCATGCCTGATACAAGACTTCCAAAACAAGACCTTTACTCTGACCTTTGACATAGCAAGAGGTTACCAGCAGGACAGAGGACACACTTCAAGGAGGTCGACAAAACCTCCCTGAAAAATTCAATAACAGCACCAACTTGTGGGAATCTCTTAGCCAAAGACTGCAGGATAAGCCGATCAGAGTGAAAGAAATTATCCCAGATATGAAGGGCTACCAAAGAAGGCAGAACATAGTTTGGTTTGATTTAAAAGCTCAAAGGAGGAATAAAAGTTAAAGTGCTTGCTACTCCTTGAATTTTTTTTACTATTCTCACAGTGGCAGTGGGCTCTTGGAGATGGATTGTGGCAGTCTGCCCCATTCTATTTCTTTTTTTGTCCACTCATGGGACCTGGGTGTTGCTGGCTGACCAGAATTTTTTGCCCATCCCTGATGCCCTTGAGAAGGTGGTGAGCTGCCGCCTTGAACCACTACACTTCATGTGCTGTAGATTGACCCTCAATGCCATTAGGCAGGAATTCCAGGATTTTGACCTAAGTCAGGACGGTGAGTGGCTTGGAGAGGAGCTTATAAATGGTGGTGCTCTCAAATTTTTTCTGCCATTGTCCTTCTAAATTGAAGTGGTCCTGGGTTTGAAAGGTGCTGTCTAAGGCTCTTTGGCAAATCTCTGCAATGCATCTTGTTGTTGTACATGCTGCTGCCACTGAGTGTCAGTGGTGGAGACAATGGATGCTTGTGGATGTGATGCCAGTCAAGTGGGCTGCTTTGTCCTGTTTCTTAAGCATTCTTGGAGCTGCACTTATCCAGCAAGTGGGAAGTATTCTATCGCATTTCTGACTTGTGCCTTGTAGATGGTGGACAGACTTTGGGGAGTCATCATTTTTAAAGCAGAGGAAGGATTTTGCATTTATATTGATCTTTATGACCATCAGACAGCGCAGTCATTGCTGTGTTGTTGTGAAACTCAGTAAGCAATTTGCACACACAAGATCAGATTTCTTTCTTGGTGATGTTCATTTGAGGGTAAATATTGACCAGGACAGAAATAGTGACACTATTCTTTGAATAATGCATTTAGGTCTTAGCAGGATGTCTTGGGGAGTTTGACATGCCATCAATCCCTCCCCATAAGAGGCGGGAGAAGCAGCACTAAACACCAAAAAATGGCTTTTGTTTTTGTTTTTGCTTTTTGCAGTTGCTGTTTAATAGCAATTGAAGGGAAAACATATTATATGGAATTTATTTTCCTCCTTTTGCTGAGGGGCACTGATACTCGCACTGGCCCCCGACGGCTGTTTGAGGCAATGTAATGTGGAGCTCTGATGCAAGATTAGGCCGTAGAGCAGCCCTGATCTCATTAAGTGGTGGAACATGCTCAAGTGGCTAAATGGTCTACTCCTGTTCCTGCCCCTAGGTTCCTAGTCAGCCAGGCAGTTCTCAAACAATGCCAATTCCCACCTGGTCAACTGCTGCTCAGTGGACATTACATGGTGGCAAAATCCTCCTAGAGCACTCCCAACTTCCACAATAAGAATAAAATTCTTAGAAGTGTACAGGGAAGGGTGAGGATATATTTTTTTTTTTTTTAAATAAGGAGAAGAAAAGTTTTGTGAAGAGTCAGCAAAAATAGTCATTGCACCTAAACCAATTATTGGAAATTCAAAATGGGTGAAGAAAGGCTTAATTAATTGCCATTTTCTCTATCAGTTGTATTAAGAAAATACATCAAGTATTCATCCTATCTTTTGTGCTTTTCATGCTGTTGCACAAATTTCTGTTTCATGCTAAAGAAACAAAGTTGGTGAGTTAGGAGGTGATAAGAAACCCTGCAGAGTCAAGTCTACATGGAACCATAATATCTGCAAACTCATCTGGCTAATTCCACATTAAACCAAGAGAAGTGTAAATTATGACCCACAGTAATCAAAGGCGCAAGAATCGAGCTCTGAATGTACCTAGTGTTTGGCTAACAGCAAATAAAATTTGCAGGGTTGGACTGTTAGATTGTGCTTTATAATGTGCGAAGCACCACATTACAGTTAGAAATCCAATGGGACATTTCCTGGAAATTCCATAATAATGCAGTTCATCACAGTCTAGATGTCACACTTTGTTACACAATGCAACCAATTTCTTGCAATTTTCTGGAGATGGGGGCATTACAAATAGAAATTACTGCCATTAGTTGGATTCCAACAGGGAGTACTTGAACAATAGTCATATAAGCGATAGATCAGGTTAGTAACTAACATATACAAACACGTTCCTGGTTAGTCTCAAGCAACCTCATAGGAGATTAGAGTTCTGTAATATGAATAATGGCTGGCAACAGAGTGCAAGATTTTGCAGAGGGCAGAACATTCAAAGTGTTTACATCTTAAGAAAGCTTGGTAAAGTAGTACGTGAATAGTGCTTCAGATATTATAGGGCAGAATTTCCTATTCCTGAGGCTGAGAATAATTCCTAAGAATAATAGCCACAGTGCTCACGTGCTCTTAGGGAGTTTGCCTACATTACTGGCTGTGAGATTCTTCTGCTTGATTTTTCCAATACTTGCTGTCCCAATATCTTTCACTTCTAGTTAACAATACAATGTATTTTCAAATCCGCCATGTGCTAATCCTGCCTCAGTCAATGTACTGTAATATCACTGCAGCAGGACTGCAGTAAATATCAAAGTCCACAATCCAGATTCAGGACTACAAGTAATCAATAACCATGGACATTTATTGATAGTGATTAAAAATTCACAACAGTCAGTGATAATGTGTAGCTCAGCTTTGAAAGTGTGCTGTGTGTTGATGACCTAGTTTAAGGAATGTGCTGTTTGATAGCAATGAGCTGGCTTAGTAAATAGTCACGAAAGTGCAATCCACTACTTACAGCAAATCTTATCTTTTGTTATCAGCAATTTTATAACAATCATATGCTTTAAGTCTGTTTCTATTGAAGGAGGGATTATGCTATGATAAATTGAATAAAAGTAAATGGTTCCTTCAGCATAAAGACAGTAATGGGTGTGTTTTATTATTTATCCTTACTGTAGAAGAGCAAAGAAGCTGATGGACACCAGTAGAGCGATAAACATTTGTACATTTATTGTCTTGGTATTTAAGGGAAAGGTTACTGTCACTGTGGGCGTGTTTCTGTTTGTCAAGTTGGGAGTTGGTTTGAATGGAGATTGTGTTGTATAATCCTTTTGAGCCAAACAAGACAGGCCATAGAATTTTTTTGTGATCTGAGTAGGTGCTGTCCTTAATCGGCCAATGGGAAGTTTCTTTGAAGAAGGGAAAATGAAATATGTTGGAATTCCTCCCCATCATCTGAAAAGGAAGTAAACAAAACAGCCCTGTGTGGCTCTGAAGTAAAATAACACACTAAAAAACTCAACTGGCTGCAGAGATGCTAAAGCTAACATCTGGCGACAGTCAAGCTAGGAGAGTGACTGCACTGAGGCTCAGTAGGAACATAAGATTTTCTGTTCCAGTGTTGCTCTTGCAAGTTACCATCTGCCCAACTGTTAATCTGCTGATCTGCCTGATTTTACAAGGTTGACTTCAACAATGTAGGAAGCAATAGCTCCTTGCCACATTGTGCTGGCATTGTCAGCTCACCCAGAGGTTAACAGCCGATAACTGCTGCAGACGATCAACACCGTGCAATCAGGTTGGGGATGCTTTACCCAAATAAGATGGGTCCGTTATGCAGTAGCCGTGGGGATTTAACATTCGAGAAGTTAAATAGACAGATCTGGAAAAAGAAACAGAAGGGGTGGAATGACAAGCAAACAAATGCATTGAGGCAGTTGAACATAGCTATATAAGTTAATCTTCATCTATGAATGTGGGACAGAGGATACAGTCATAGTCTGCCTATGTTGGAACTTGATTGGCCTGGCATTTGTCCAAAGGTAAATACTGGAGAAACCGCTTTCCCAATATTATGGATATACTTAAAATGTCATATTCCCAGAAACTTGTGACAAAGCCTCCTTACCAATTTAGTGGAAATGGAAAACAGCAAAAGAAGGAACTTAGAAGTTGCATGGCCTGTCCCCAGTTTGCCCAGAATTTTTTATGTTGGTGGGAAGGTAGATTATCTCTGTAATGGCATAAAAGATCACATCTAGGGGAGGCAATAGACTAGTGGTGTTACTGTTGGACTGTTAATCCAGAGACCCAGGCAGTGTTCTGGGGACCTGGTTTTGAGTCCTGCCATGGCAGATAGTGGAATTTGAATTCAATGAATAATTGGAATTTAAGAGTCGAATGATGACCATGAATCCATTGTTGATTGTCGGAAA